CGTGACGCATCTGCGCGGTTAAACGCCGCGTTCCCCGGGCGATAGCCCCGACACTCAAACAAAAGGCGGCCGCCTGACAATGAGGGGCTGTTTCTTTTATTTTACCAAGACATTTGCGCATCTGAAGCCGCACCGCCGACCCGACCCGTCCCCTCCGTCGTGCGATAGCCGTGACAGCCGCCGCACAGAAACGCTAAAGCCCCATCCGGCAGATAAGCCATGCAAAATGTCTCCTCCGATCCCACCCCCATCTCGCCTCCAAATAAATAAATAAATGCGGAGGAAATGTGGAAGGCACCGAGCGCACCGGCAGCACCGGCGCTGCCCGAGGCCCCGGGCCCGAGGGATCGGCCTCGCCGCCGCTCGCCGGCCTCCGCGACGGGAGGGCTCCCACCTCCTCCCTCAGACAATGGTGCTCTCCCTCCCCGGGCTCGGATCGCCGCCGTTCGGCGCTAGGCCCCGGCCCCAGCGGGGCGGGCGGACCCGCGGGCAGGGCCGAGGAGCGAGGGGACGGCGGCCCCGCTCCGGCCGCCTCGGGGCCGCCCCAGGGCCGCGGCGGGGCGGCGGCGAAGAGGCGGTAAATAGGCGGCCGCCGAGCCGAGCCGAGCCCAGCCTCGCGCCCCCAACCGAAGCGCGGCCGCCGAACTGCGCAGAACGCCGCCGGGCCGCGTTCCGCCGGGGTGCCCGGCGCCGGCTCCCCGCCTCCCGCAGCCCCCGGCCGCTCTCCCCCCGCCGGGCGATGGCGGCGCGGCCCTGAGGGACGGGGGGAGGGGTGGGGGGGGGTCTCGCCCCGTTCCCTCCCGGGGGGCCGGCGGCGATCGCTCCCTCCCCCCCGGCCCCCCCACCCCCCTTCCCCTCAGCGGCGGGCGTGGGAGCGCGGGGCCGAGCCGAGCCCCCGCCTCCCTCTCTCCCTCCCTCTCCCTCTCTCTCTCTCGGCGGGGCCCGACGGCCCCGGGCCGGGCAGAGCCCGAGCCAAACAAAGCGCGGCCTGAGCGGGAGCCAGGGGTGAAGCCGCCCGGGCCCTTCCTGCCGCGGCGAGGCCCGGCTCCGCCACCGGCCCCGCGCAGGCCGCGTTCGGCGCCGCGCTTACCCCGATCCCCGGCGGCGGCGGCGGCGTTGTTCCTCTCCTGCTGCTGCTGCACCGGGCGCGGCCTGGACACTCGCCTGGGTCTCCTGTTGGCGGCTCGGACCGAGTTCATTTGCCGACTCGTGTGGGTGGCGGGAGGGGAGGGGGGAAGCCTCCGGCACCCGGCGCCTCGTCGGGAGGAAGGAGGGAGCCGCGGGCGGCCGCCTCGCCTCGCCTCGCCTCGCCTCGCTCGCCGCAGCGGGCAGCAGGGAAGGGAAGGGAAGGAGGGGGCTCCGGGCGCGGGTCCCGCCGCCGCCGCCGCCGCTCCCCGGCTCGCTCGGAGGCAGAGGAGCCGCTGGGTCTCCCGAGCGCTGCCTGCGGGGGACGTCGGCTCCGCGCCCCCCTCCCGGCCCCCCCGAAAATCCCTCTCTTAAAGGAGCCCCGCGGTCCTGCCCGTCTCAAGCCCGTCGCTGCTCCGTGGCAGGAGGAGCCATTGACACTGCCGGAGACACACACTCGCGGGGAGGCAGCCGCTGGCGGCCGCGCTCCGCCAATCGCCGCTTCCCACACAGCGGGCCGACGGCGGGGCGGCCAATCGGCGCGCCGCTTCTATGGGACGCGGGTTGGGCGAGCGGCGCGGCGCGGGGTGGGGTGGCAGAGAGCGATATAAGGGGCGGGCGGGGGAGGCCGGGCGGTGCGCTGTGGGCGAGCGGCCATGGCGGCTGCGGCGGCCGAGGCCTTGGCTGGGCTGGCAGCGGAGGGAGCTTTGTACCGCCGGGTCCGGCGTTGGGCCCTTGGCGGAGCTCCCTTCGGGCACGCAGGTGGGCGAGCAGCGGGACGAGGAGCTCGGAGGGGCCTGAGTACGAGGGGAGGGAGCGGGCTGCCAGAGTGCCTTGGTGTGCCTTGTGTGTCCTGTGTGTCCGTCTGTCCTGCCTTGGTGACCCGCGTGTGCTCGGCTCTGAGGTGGGGGTTAGGTTTGTGCAGAGTGCCTGCGGCCTGGCGAGTTGTTAGCAACTTCTTCATTTGGGCCGTGTGTGTTTCACGGGCTGTGTACCCTTTGGTATATCAATGTGCTGTTTATTTTGGGCTGAGTTTTTAGATGCACTATGAGGCTTCTGTTTTATTCTGCTTGTTGTGTTGCTGCTCTGTTGGTGGCTTGTAACCAGGAAAGAATGACTGAATCAAACCGTGCTCTCTTGCTTTTCAGAGTTCTGCTAATAAATCCAAGCAGTGAGGAGTGCACCTTTCTCTTTGCAGAGATTTCTACTGCTGTGCAGGTTGGTCAGTGTGTAGTACTGCTTTAAGCTGAGTGCTTGAGGCCTCTGGAATCAGCACCTGCTGTGTTAGCTGGAGTAGAATGTAAGCAAATGCTTGTAATTAAAAGTACATTAGGCAGGAGGTTCATCAAAGCTGATGTGAAGATGTAGTGAAACCTTAAGAGGTGAGTGCTCTCTCAAAATGTAAGAAGTCATAATTTAAAGATGTTTATATTTGTGCTTCTGAAGTCAGCGATAACAAAAGTTGACTGAAATTCCTGTCAGTCCAAAAACCAAGTGCATATGTAGTGCATGTATGGAGGAATATCTTTTTTTAGACTTAATCTTTTGTTGCCATGAAGAAAAAGAACAGTGGGGGGTTGTTTTCCATGCTTGAAAAAGAGTTCTTATACCTGTCAGAGGAGGATGAATAATAAGGTTTATTGTATGTGAAGTAACCTTCACAGAAAAAGAGAATAGCTGTCACTCTGTTTGGGGCCAGTATCTGCCATAACAATTGTCAGGCTAGCAGATAAATGTTTTTAGGATGTGCAGGTATCAAAGTATTTTTTGATGTTAACAGCATTGTGAAACTGCTTTAAATGATCCCTATTCAAGAACTGTGCCTAATTTACTGTGATGCAGTTAAGGAATTTCACATCTGGAAACTTCTCTAGCATTTCAGTAAATTAACTGTTTCTGTTAAGCTGTTCTAGTTGATCTCTTTCCTCCTCCAAGATCCAGAAAATGATTTCTTAGTGACTCAAAGTTACCTGAAATTATTCAGTAGTATACTTTACATTCATAGAACTGCCCAAATTCTTGAAAACATCTTTAAGAGCCAAAAGGATGGAGAGCTAATTTTCAACTAAAGCTTCTGATACTAAAAGAAAATTGTGTGAAATTTGAACTAGAGCAAGACTTCGTAGAAGTCAAAATCTTGATCTTGAAGTACTTTAAAACTAAATCATTTCTTGGCATAAAAACAGATTTTGTAATTGGCTTCTTAAGCTGCTAACTTGTGTTAAGAACATAATGATATGAGTCAGTAAAACTTATTGTGAATGGGGGAAAATATGACTATTCATGAGCAGATCTAATATGGAGTCTTACTGATTTAGTCAAGATTGAGGACAATCTCTAGAAGGCTACAGTGAAAAGTGCTTTGAGTTGATATGGTAAGTAAGTATGCTGAATAAGATGAACTGTATTAAGTTACTAAATAAATCATTGGTATAAAAGTGGTGTGTGGAAGTGTTTGTTTGTATCTTACAAGGCATGGGCTATAAAAATAGTGATGTTACTCTTCTGATGATCTTGGCTGCATTTTTAAGAGCTCAGACATCAGAAAGTCCAGAATTTCTTCATAACAGTCTTAACTGGAATACTTTTTCTTTCATAACAGAATTAAATGCATCCTGTTTATCTCTGACAATCGTAATTTCAGTTTTGCAAGTCATTTCTTAAAAAATTGTATATGGCAATCTCATGGATTAATTATTGCTATGAAGCTTCTTGAGGAAACCCCCTTCTGCTCCACAGACACATGGCGTGTTCTGTGCTATATCCAACCTGCACTGAATTTCAAATGTGCATCTTCCTATTCTGTACACAAAGAGCTGGCTGCCAAGAGATCAACTTCCTTTCTGCATGTGGAAAGAGATGCTGAAGTGTGCTTAGTGATGGCAGTAAGTTGTTAATTATGAGTAGCCGGAACTGCTTAACTAATTAGACAACTTCTCATTCATACAGAAGTAGCATAAGTAGTGATGGAAATACTGCTACGAGGTTTCCTATTTATTTGTGAGGGAGATGTGCAGAGAGACAAGTGAGCAGCTCTGATTCTGCTGATTTCTGAAGGGAAGAAGACAAACACCTTGAAGATCAGCTGAAGATAATGGATAATACAGCTAAGTAATCCTTCTCTAAAACTTCAGTTTTCTAAGATTTCAGTAGAGAACAGAGAAGAAACAAGATGGTAAGATGGTTGACAAATTAGCGTGGGCCTATCTAAACTGTTAAGTCAGCAAAACGAGGTTTGTCTGCAGGAATCACCACTATTTTATTTCCTTTAATGTACCCATTCTGTAGTACCCTTATTTCAGAGAGTGTTGAGAATGCTTTGGATGTGCAGCCGAATCATCTTAGAATGCATGAGTGTCCAACCTTTTGGCTTGCCTGGCCCTCACTGAGTGAAGAGTAATTGCCTTGGGCAGTAAGTTGCTCTGAAAGCAATGCCTCTTATTTTCTGGGAACTACAACAGATACAATGAGCACAGTAGCTCTGTTTGATAGAGCAAATTCTTAACCTCCAAAATGCTATTTCTTAATGTAGTCACTACTGTTAACTATGCTAACCATGAACATACATGCCGTGCTCATCAAAACCTGCACCAACAGACGTGACCTACTGTTGCCACTGCAAATTGCACTTCCCACTGCCTCACTCTGCTTGCATCCACTGCTGGATCTCCTTAAATGTTCAAGTATCAATGAAGGGGTTGGTTTTTAAGTGGAGGATTTGGGTGACCCCTTTGTTCCATATGGACTTCCTTGTCAGATGTCATTGTGTCAGACTGCCTGTTCACTGCCATCTGTCCTGCAGCAGCATGTAATGGGATATTGGTGGAAAAGTTTGACCTCTGCTGCCATCCCACCAGCATCCACCTCTGACCATGTGGGCCAAAATAATTAAACAGAAAGCATTACTTCTGGAGCAGCACTTGTATAACGTAGTTTTGTTACTTACATACGTGAATTTTTAGTATTTCTATTCAAACCAAAAAAGAGCAACAATTCATAAAACTAATGGGAAGTTTGACCTTGTTTCTGTGAAACTAATCGATCAGTTTGGTTCAGTGGCAGTGGTTACAATTCTCAGTGAGTTCTCAAGGTTCTCACTGGAGTCCTTTTATGAAGCTTCATTCTTTTCTGTGCTTTGTCGTTGACAGCAGTTGTTCACAAATGTACTACTGCCAAAAGCGATGGCGTGAATAAGGCATGACTGTGAAGTGAGTGGTATTTCTCTTCTAAAAATCTGGTAAAGAGATATGATCAGGTTTTTGAGTTGACTATTTGATTATAAATGTGTACATTCCATTTGAAAAATATATTTGTGTCAAATGAAAATGGAGTTGCAAATTTACAAAGACGTTTTTTGCTATCTTGAAACTGATTCTCAAATTCCTCATCTAAACAGAAATCAAGGCTGCATGTCTTTTGCTGCTAGGAGGACTGTTTATCCAATGTATCAAAACGCATAAAATTATTTGCCATAATTTGAGTTAGCACTGTTCTCTCCATGCCCTGGTTTCAGCTCGCTGTTAATAGTGCATTAATGTCTGGTTGCTGCTGAGCAATGGGTGTATGGCTGAGACTGGGTCAGGCTGCTTGGTGGGGCAGAGCTGCTGCTGTGGTGGTGGGGGGTGGCTGCCTTGCAGGCTCTGCTGGGCTGCATAAGGGCTGCAGGTTAGACGCGCCTGTTATGATCCCTGCTTAGCCTGAGGATGTGAGTATTGATCAAAACAAGTCTAGAATAACAGATTTTACTGGATGGTGGACTGTGGTTTACTTCTAAGGGGTTCACAGAAGATAAGTAGAAACAGCCTTTAAATTGTTTATGAAGGCCTAAATTTCTTTAAGGCTGTTCAGAATCAGCACACTGGAAAAAACATGAAATTCCTGACCTGTTATTAGGTGGAAAACACAGCATTTTCCATGGTTCTTTCTTAATATTTGAGGAAAAAGTAGTACGTTGAGGCCACTGTTGCAGGTTGTTGCAGAAAGCCCAGTACAGAGCCTTCTGCTGTGTACAACTCCTGGATTTGAACAAGAAATAGAAGAAATCATGGTTTTATCTTGGGGTTGAATCAGATCAAATGGCTTTGCAAGGGGCTGTGTGTCTGTCCCTCTCCTTACAGATGAAAATGAGGCACGAAGTGGTGAAGTAACTTGCCCAAAAATTTTTTAGGCTATTAGCGGGGCTAGGAATAGAACCTAAGGGACAGAAGTCTTTATCTGAGGCTTTCTCCACAGCGTCACATCACAGCTTTCAGAAGCATAAGCTTCTACCTATCATTTCTAACTATTTCATAAGCTGTTAATGTATACCTGGTCTAAAAATACTGTTTTGAAGACTTGGGACTGACCCACTGGTGACTATTTGGATTTAAACCTAGAGGGTTGTTTCTCATAAGGTTGGAAGAAGTAAGCCTTTCAGAAATAGGGGTGTCTACAGCTGGTTGAATTTACTTGCTCTGCAGCTGAATGCTGTTTTGTTGCAGTTGCTTTGAGTCCTGGTTCTGCTATGTCTTCCTGATCTTACATTAAATGGTTGTTAAAACTCTCTGCATTTGCCTGGAATCTCTGTCTCCTGAAATCCAGCTTGATTTTTGGCTGACCTTAATGGGTTGCCTTGTGGGTGAATGTCTGTGCTTGGTGTTGTTTGTTGCTGTACCAACTTTGATTCTGCAGAATGAGTAAAGACCTCGGGAAGAAGGAAAAATGTTTTATTTTCTGGAAGTACACACTTGGTTATTTAACATCCTAATTTTGATTCTGCCCTAATAAAAAGTTCTTGGAAGTTGGAATGATGTCTGAGGTTTTCTTTGTTTTTTAATAAAAAGTAACTGCTGAAGAATCCCGGTGGAAGAGTGTTCTGAGTTTCAAAGCACCATCAGTGCTCTTCTGGTCAAGTTTCAAAACCATATCCATGGGTGCGTACAAACATCACCTGCCTCAGGATTTTCTTGGGAGTGTTTTCAGGTTTTGGTGGCATTGTAGAGCATCCAAAAGATGCTTCTTAAATGGTATTCAGCACCTCAGTGCTAACTCTGAGGTTTATGAAGGGATGGTGCCTACTTCAGTCCTGAACTCAAGAACTGAAAGTGTGGAAGTGAAATAGTCTCACCATCAGCATGTGAATACAGTGGTAAAATGTTTTTGCTTCAGATACTGAAAGCGAAGCAGGTTGGGTGTGGAATCTATTAGTATTATCTGCCTACTTTACCATGTTGGTAACTTTTTGTTCACTGGTGGAAACAAGTTCTTCATACTAACGATGAATACAAAGACTCTTACTATCTGTTAGACCACTGCTATAGATCTCCTGCTCCAAAACTGTACCCTGTTCTTCGAGGGGCTTATTTAAATGTGGAAGGGTTGTGAGATTAATTGCAGTAAGCCTGCCAACAACAGATCAGAAAAAGTAAATAAGTATGACGCATCACATGCATATGTTGTGTCAGTTTGTTCCATCTCTGGGTTGGGCAGCTGGAGGAGAGGAGTTGGGTCCTTGTTCTTCTTAGCCTCAGTTGTGTTTATCAGTCATGGCTTATCTTATGAGCAAGGAAAAAGGTCTAGTTAACATTGTGCTTTATGGAAGATATTTCCCCGGAAAGGATTTTTGAATGTTCTGAAGAGTATTTTGCAGTTAGGGTTTAATTTGTTGTTGCCATTAAAAAGCAAGCCTGCTCTTCACAGGTGTTGTTCTGCTGCCCCTACCCAGTCCCCTGTTCTGTCAACTAGTATTTATGCAACAGCATGGTTAAGCAGATCAAAGAGGTAATTTAGTTGAAAAATAATCTAGCTAGAAGTGCAGCTAGTTTTCATGTACATGTATAACTGTTAGTGCAGGGATGTGGCAGGAAAACATGGCTCTTGTGTGGTGAAAAGTTTGGGTTGCACACAGTTGCTGTGATCGTGGAATTGCATGCCATTAGCCCCTTCCTGAACCTTTGTGTGAAAGCCATGTTTCATTAGGTCTGTTTTTCTGGGATGATCTTGGATGTGGCTGCTCTCCTGTAGGATTTCTTTGGGCTGCTGATGAAGCACTGTATTGTGTTTCTTGGCTAATCAATCCGTTTCAGCAAGTGGAAGCATGTACTTAAAGATAACCAGCTTACAATGGCTCAAAGCATATGGGCTTAATGACTTTAAACAGTTTTGTTTCCATTTGTTGCCACGTGGTGGTGATGTTGGTTGTTCCCTCCTACTGCTGAGGGTAAGTGGCAGATAATATTGGCAAAGGATGTCCAATAGATAGATCAGTGCCTCCAGATGACTCTAACCGGTGCCACGTGGTTTTGGCAATTACCAATATGGTGAGGAAATTCATGCTCCTGTTTGTACTCTTATTCACATGTAAGTATTCCAGTACTTCAACAGGGTGAGCTAATCAACAGGAAGTATTTTGCAACAGACAACACTGACAAAATACAATCATTTTTCAGGGTAACGTGCTACAGGTATCTCCTTTTAAATTCTTGCTTATCAAAGTCCATAACCCTTTGTTTCACAGAAGACATAAAATCAGGAATTCACCGAAGTTAACCAGTAAAGGATAACTGGCACTGTGTATGGAAGGGACTGTTCTCTCCTTCAGTTGCCTATGACTAATGCCTTGGGCTCTCATCAGTTTTATGCTGACAAGCAGAGATGGGGAAGAGATCATCCATTCAGAACGTGTGTTTAAATGAGATCGATAGCACTGTAAAATCCTCTCTGCTGACTACTGATTATAAGTGTCAGTGTGATCTAGGCCTTGAAGAAATTTATGTGATATAGGTGACAGCATAGTCGCTGTAAGGACAGCTTCCAAAACAGTTACATCTAAAGATCTAACTTTGTTTAATCAATTCTGACTTTCCTGCACTTGTATGTGTCCAGTACTACAAACCCAGGTCTGCTGAGGCACTGAAGATCTTATATTTTCTAATAGTTCGCTGTTTGTTTCTGTTCTTCTTTACAGCAAAGCAGAAGAGGAAAGTGGAAAACTGAGATTCTCATGTATTTTGAAGTCTCATGTGGGTAAGATGGGAAGGGAAACTTAAATAAGACAATATTAGTCAAACATTCTAAAGATTTTTCCAATTAGGAGTTGTATAAAAGGAAACTGTGTGTGTGTTTGTGTGTACACGTTATTGTCAGTCACTATAAATGCATGATTGAGATGCTGTTCTAGAAGTTCATTATGTTTGTTTTGTAATCTCCATTTCTTAATAGCTTATCTTTGTCTTTTACCATCAAACAGATGATCTTATTTCTGTTTGTGATTAAGTTAATGACTTTGTCTTGTAAATACTGCTTGGCAAAAACAGGTAAATCTAAAACCAAACTTATATCAAAATATGCATCTGTAAGTAGCATTACTTCTGTTGAAGGTGTGAGTTTTATTTTTTTCCCTAGTGATATATGATGCAGAAAACAAATTGGGAATGAGAAAAAGCATCAAATCAAACATTCTTTATATAAACTCTTTTTCAACATGATGTGAGTTGCAGTGGCTGATTTTTGGGCAGCATTGGACTGTGGAACATGCAGAGCAGTTTTGCATAACTCTGAAGATGTTTGGGTGGATACTGGAGGTCTAGCCATCACAGTTATGTAGTTTCCACAGCCTGCATGAGTGTCTTGACAGCTGACTGTGTTCTGTTGCAAGACAGTATATTGGACTATGTATACATGCCTTCAGTGTTTCAAAACTCAGCCTGTGAGGTGTGGGAGAAAGAAGCTAGCAGTCGCATTTATGAGTCAAATTCTTTGGAGGTGTGCAAGAGTAGTTGGTGAAGGAACATAAAAAGATGAGGATTGGGGAATGGAATGTTTGGTGTTGGTTTTAATTAGAATTGTCCTGTTCATCATTCATATTGTGAGATAAAAGGGAAAAATATCCTCTCTGCACATGCAGAGAAAAAATATTTCTATTACAGTTAGTGAGCAATTCTAATTGGGCTGCCAAATATAAATTTGTCTAAAACTCATACAGATTCAGTATTAAAGCTAGCAGTTTTCTCAGAAGAAAAAAATAAAAATTAAAAAAAAAAAAAAACCACCGAACTAATAAAGCCCAGTCTGTAACCTTTTCTCTCATGAATATAGGTCGTCTTGTGGCTTTTTCCTTCCAAACAGTATAAAGATGGGATTCATATTGTGGTTTGGAAGAGAGCATGTTTTAAACCAGAGGAGGAAGTCAATGGATGACCTTTAGAGCTTAGGGAAGAAGGTTTTGGAGGGGCTTTCTTCCAGCCAAGGAGTAACCAGCTGCTCGACCATGCTGTTGTCTTCTCGCAGGTGTGGTGTGGTGACATGCCAGGAGAGGTATGTGCTACCCTTGATTGTAGTTAGTCATGCTAAGTGTCCTGTGCTCTAATCTCCCAGCATTGCAAAGCAGCCAAAGTGACTGATACTGTTACTTCACATGCTCCTGCAAGGTAGATTAGAATCTGCTGCTCCTGAATTTAATTAGCTGGCAGCATCTTTAAAATACTTTCTAGAGTGTTTGGATTGTAATCATTTTTAAGGCCTTACTAAATGAAGCAAAACGATCTGTTCTCCTTTCGTATTAAAAAAATATATATTCAAATTGTTCTACATTTTAAAAGTTAATATCAGGATAAGTGGGTGCAAGTAACCTTTCACCCTCCAATCGATACAAAGGATGTTCTCGCTTTACATAAATGCCTCTGCGTAGTCTGTAGTTCCATCTGAACAAATTTGTTTTTGGCTTCTGACTAAGCATACAAAGAGGCTAGGGTAAGTACATTGGGTTGCTATCAAGCATGATATGACAGATGTCATATCTAAAAATAATGGTAAAGAAAACAAAGCTCTAAACTGATTGCTTTCCCTTTCTAAAATACAAGTAAGGCAGTTTTGACATTATTCAACTCAGGTCATCAAATTCATATAATTATACACCAATGTAACGCATACATCTTAGAAGAATGAAAAGTACAGAAAGATGAGTGTGAATATAAATTTACTCATCTTTTATAAAATGCTTTCTTAAGGTGCTGACATTTTCAGTACATTGATTGTTCATAATGAATACTCTTGCATAAAATATTTCAAAGGTAATTTTCTGAGGCCAGAAAATGACTAAAAAAGTTATTCACTAAAGAGCAGTCAATAATCTGTGTCCGGAAGCAGATTTATGGGATGTGAAATAAATTGATGTAACAGAAGTTGCTTATACGAAAGAATTACCTGCCCTTTTATAGATTCGATGTCCTGAAACAGAAGCCTCAAAAGTGATGTGGGCCAATTCAGAGGCAGTCATTCTGTACTATGTAGTCCTGGGCCACTGGAGGAAAAGAAGAAAATGGCTTTGGGCAAAGTCTCCCTACTTGTAGCAGAAGTCCAAGAGGTAGTCATCTCTGCAGGTAAAATGCAAAGTTTTTTTGCTATGTACTTCAGGATGGATTATACTAGTCAATGGAGATATAGTAAATTTCAAGAATTTACTTAAAAATAAGGAAAATAAATTAGTTGATTCTGACTGCTTCCAGGTAGTAGTTTTTAAACAGCTTGTCATATGTTTCTTGGCTTTTACAGCTTCACATGAAAGGTTTTCCTGGTTCATAAAGGAAATTAATGTGAAATCAATAATGGCATTTAAAAATTCACCAAACATTTCCCATCCAGAGAAAGTCTCTTTTAGAGTGCTGCTAATGAGTGGGGAAAAACACAGTGTTGACCCTAAAAGCAGGCAAAAGAGAAAGCAGCACTGATGGAAAATGCAGTGAGGAAATATGCTTTTGGGAACCACCAGGAGCAAGGGAGATCTGCCTGTACCCTGCCCTGAACAAACTGTGGGATCAACCTGCAAAAGTCGTTTGCTTGAAAATGTAGTCTAGATGGCTGCACTGACTTCAAGCTAAAGGATGCAAGTGGCATGAACAACAAAGAAAAATTCACTTGGTGAAAATACCAACAGAAACAGTAAGACTTGTTTCTTGTAGTATATTACAGCTGTATAACCTACTGCATTCCAGGCAATGATGAGGATACTTTTGCCGCTTCAGATTGCTTTGTCCTGCTACCCCAGGAAACCTGGAATCATTGTGGAAATGGGAAAGACAAGTCATAAAACTGGATTTGTTCATTAGTTTCTATTTTTAATGAAAGCACTAGGAGGAACCATACAAAAAATACAAGTGAGATAATACCTGGTGGTCTGGTGGCTGTATGCATGCTTGGGCCACTACTCTACTGAAAAAGTTCCACTGTAGTTATAAGTTGTGCAGTTTAATACCACTGTAATGACTGACAGTTGTCACATTTATACCATTTGTCAGTTTTCCTTTCTCCCTCCTTTTTCAGCATTTTTCACCGGGTGGCTCAGAAATAGTGGAGCAAGCCTTTGGAATTTGGGGTGTGGTGGTCCTTGCTGAAAGGTGGTTTCCTGATAACCTGCACCCAAGAGTGCACCTCTGTGCTGTGCAGCCTCACCTCCAGCACCAGGTGCAGATCTGGGTGCTGCAGTAAAAAAAAAAAAAAAAAAGAAGAAGAAAAAAAAAAAGGGGCTTAAAGCTGTTTAAGAGTCCAAAGGAGAGCTACAAAGATCGAGAAGGGTCTGGAGGGCAAGGAGTGTGAGGAGCAGCCGAGGCCCCTGGGTTTGCTCAGAGCAGAGGAGTTGTGGAGAGGCCTGATGGCGGCTGCAGCTCCTCACAGGGAGCGGAGGGCAGCGCTGAGCTCTGCTCTGTGTGACAGAGACAGGGCCCGAGGGAACGGCATGGAGCTGTGTTAGGGGGACAGGGAAAGGCTCTGCCCCAGAGGGCGGTGGGCACGGTGCTGGAACTTAAGGAGTGTTTGGATACTGCTCTCAGCCACAGGGTTTGGATTTGGGGTAGAGCTGTGTGGAGCCAGGAGCCAGACTCGATGATCCTTGTGGGTCCCTTCCAACTCACGATATTTTGTGACTCTATGGTCCTGCCACCTCCAGACACCCGTACCTACATTTCCTCAGTGATCTTCAATCATTTTAAAATATGCTTCTCTATTGCTTATGGCACTTTGCAGTTTGGGCCATTGAAAATCTTACATTTTCCCAAGCTATTCCATAAGCTTCAGAGTCAGAAAGTCATTTTGCTTTCTGGGTAAAAATTCTGTTTTGCGTGGAAGCACTCAATCCAGAAGCTGAGGCTTCAACCAGCAGATAGGGGGTTCGTGATAAAGCTGGCAGAATTGCGCTGCTCTGAGCACTTTCAGAGACATATGCTGCTTTTCCTGCTCCTGGAAGGAGTCCCACAGATGTCTCATGATTATTCACTTGAGTCATGGTTGCAGAGCTGACTTCTTGGTGGTTTGGATTCCCAGATACACTGCATATTTAGGGCGTTGAAAGTGCAAATTCGAAATTAAGTGCCTATTTTAAAAGAGGATTATGTTTTACACAAGACTGATAGTTTGAATTTAGACTAAATTTCTTCCCCAATTATAACAATATTTGGTCAAAATGAGACATCTCCGAGGACAAAGAAACAAAAAACACGAAACTAAATGGGACATGGCATGCTTTTACGTTGAGTTCGTATTCCCCTTGTTTTCTACCGGTGGCATTACGGTGATATTAGGCACTAGGTGGTGCTATCCCACATGGTCTCCTGCATTGCTGCTCTCTGGGTGCGAGTGGCCTGGGCTCTATGTTTTCAGAAGGCATTTGTTTTGGAAAGAGGGGGAAATTAGACGGTAGGCTCTCACAGCCCTTCGGACAGGAGTGAATTTTTAGGGTAAAATTACCCTAGGGAGCTTGGGTATTATTTTTTTTTTGACTGAGATGCCAGAAATGAGGGATTGTGTGTGTGCCATTTATGACCATCTCTACACCCAGATTAATGTGCTCTGTAACAACTTGCTGGTGCTAAGCCTGTACTCACAAGCAGTTTAACTCTACAAGCTTTATTAAGATAGAAGGCTTTAATGTCTGATGTATCAACACAATAATAGATTTTTTTCCCATGTGTACTTCTACTGTTAACTGAATCTATTATATGTATTTGTATACGATGTACCATTAACAGATGTTAGGCAACCTGAGGAAATTCACACCGAGTTTTCACTTTTTACATTTGTTTTGTATTCTCAAAATGATGTTCTAAATTCATTCTGTCATGTTTTGGGGGGTTTGTTGTCGTTGTGTTTTGTTTGTTTTGTGAGAAGAGGAAACAAATACTATCCAGAACAGTCCTTTCCAGGACTGAAAATCTTAGATGTGCCCCAGTAAGAGAGTTTTAAAGATTAACTGAGTACTAAGGAGAGTCTGAAAATGGAAAACATTTCTCTGTGCTTTCTCAAAATTTTCCACAAGGCTCCTGGAACATCTGAATTATCTGACTGTAAGTCAGTTTGGTTTTCAGGCAAAGTTGTTTTCTTTTTCCTCACTTGTAGTATTTTTACGAGAAGTGAGGACAAGATCAGACAGATGGAAGGAAAGAAGTGTGAAGGAATTGCAACATCAAAATCTTTTTGATTTGAAAAGTGAAAACATCAGTTGCGTAGCTTCCACATCTACATTTCAGGAAGTTTTTAAAAATGCCTTTTATTCCTTTTTAATATGCTGTACTTATTCAGAGAGGGTTGAGAATGAAAAATATCAATAAGAACTTTTAAGTGTTTTCATATGGAATCTATCTTCAGCTGCATACCAAAAAACGTCTTTGTTATTTTTTCATTGAGACCCTAATCTTGGAATGACTTTTCATTTACCGGTGCCTTTTAAGTCTGCTGTTGTGTTTCAGGTCAGATCCTTCCTGCTCGCTCCTTTTACCCTGTCTCAGCCTCTTGCACACTCACCATAGGGCAAAGCTTGCAGTTATTTTCCACCTGTGTGAGAAGGATTTCCCCTCTCAGGGATGCATAGTGGAAGACAAGCCGAGTTAAGGCTGGTTCTAATTTTTTTTTTTGTGAGAAAGTTTCTTGTGGCGTATTATATTTAATACTAAAACCTACAATTTGTGAATTAATTGTTAGCAGTTCAAAGGCCTTTGTTTATTATTCAGTTTAGTCAGGGGAAATGGCTTGTTTTTTCTTTTTTTGCATCAGTAGCACTGCCATTTGTCTCTGTTGCTGTTCTTATTGTGATCGTATACTCACTAAGCTTCCTTCTTTTGAAAATAGTTTAGTAATGTTAAAATACCACTTTCAAGGAGAAGAAAAAAAGTTCCAGTATCTTTTTTTTAGAATTCTGATGACTTGAATTGAGAAAAAGAAAAAAAGAAAATGAATATCCCTTAAAATTATGTGTCGTCTTTAGTTGCTTCAGATTAACAATGTTAGAACATTTATATTCTCTGAAGTATATGTATTTTAACTTGTCCAAGGGTGCTCAGGTTTATTTGCAGGTATTTGACATGAAAGAAACAGTTGAAATCATCTGAAAAAAACAAAAACAAACAAAAAAACCCACAACACCTTATTATACTCACCTGATTTGCTATTACAGAGTTTGTAACCCCTGGTAGCACACAGGATTTGTATTCAGATTACTGCTCAAAGTCCCGCTTTGCAGTCTTGCAGTGACCATGTGCCAGTTATCACACCTCAGTTATCAGATCTGCAGCTGAATAGATCTTGTGAATTGCTGTTGAAAGTGCCTTGTGATCCATTCAGATGAAAGGCTGATGTTCAGGATGGAGTTCCTTGTATCCAGTGTTCTCTTGTGTTTCTCACTAGGCATTCATGGCCTTCAGCTGGAGCTGGAGGAACTAACAGTTGTTTGCCTATGTCAGAAAATTAAACGTGTAACAGGAGAGAACCAAGATCAAGTTTTACCAGGTACCAGTCTAAAAATTTAATCCATCATGTTGTATAGGTAACTTACAGTATGTATGAGAGAGACCAATGAGCCTCCCTTATGGGGACAGGCTGGAAGCTGGGGCTCTTCAGCCTGGAGAAGAGAAGGCTCTGAGGGGCTTTATAGAGGTCTTCCAGTACCTGAAGGAGTCTACAGGAAAGATGGAGAAGGACTTTTTGTAAAGGCACGTAGTGACAGGATGAGGGGAAGTGGCTTTAAACTGGAAGAGTGTAGATCTGGACTAGATATTAGGAAGAAATTCTTCACTGTGAGGGTGGTAAGACACTGGAACAGGTTGCCCAGTGAGGCTGTGGATGCCCCCTCCCTGGAGGCATTCAAGGCCAGGCTGGATGGGGCTGTGAGCAGCCTGGTCTAGAGGGAGCTGTGCCTGCCTATAGCAGGGGGTTGGAACTACATCATCTCAAAGGTCTCTTCTAACACAAACCATTCTATGATCCAGTGATCTGCATCACAAAATGAAGGTGTAGCTACAGGATCTGCTTGGAATTTCTGTGCATGTTTTGTTGAGAAAGAGTCACAATGCATTGGGCTAGATGCTTGTCCCATTTTGATTTCTATCCTGACATG